TGTTAACGACCTTAAAATTAACATATTCATTTCGTCTTCTTCACTTTCATATCCATTTATATATACAATATATGTATAACTCATTTATAAGAACTAATGCATTTCCTTTCGATCTTTCAATTAATGATAAAAATTAACGATTAAAAAATGACAAACAGTCGATCCATTCGAACGACTGAATGGGAATGAAAGTCGTTCAGAAGTAATAACGACAATGACCGAAGAGTAAAGAACGATCACCTCGATGACGAACGACGACGTTGCTAATAACGATCTTCGATTTGCTAGCGAATACGAAGGACAACTGGGTGGGTTGAACCGCTGAGGGGGTTTCCTTTGGAATCGGTAATCGGGCTGAACATGGGGAGCCTGTTGTAATGAAAGGCAGGATGCGCTCGGGACCGGATACGATGTTCCTCGCATACAGAAACAGTTCCAGAAACGAAGGAAACACCATCGCTAGACTGTGGTGATTGGTATCCCTCTCCATCGAGACATGGTTCTGTCCTAAGTATGGCATGGCAAGGGGACATCACCGAATGCGTTTTCATGACTTGTACCTAAATTTATTTATGACGCGACACTAATTTCTTTCTCATCAAGATAAGAATTATTACTTTCCTCCGGAATCTTAACGAGACTTTATATTTTACGACCTAGCGGATGATTGAGAGAATCGATAAGATGAATCTGGATGGAAATTTAATTTACTTGTTGAACCCGAATGCGAATCAGGAGATTTTCCGCTATTTTTGTAAGTAATTAAAATTTTGTACACTGTTTTATAGTGTAGATAAAAGAAGTATGTTCTATGAACGTCATCGAACACGTACTAAATGCAGTAAATGATATTTGAAATCAGGGAAACCGTGAGGAAGATTTTTACGGAGAAAAGTGAAGCGATCAATACTTATCAATGGAACACTCTGTTGCAACCTACACTCGTGAACACAGAATGAAGTAAACGCGCGTCAAGAGTTCATAGACCCAAGCAGCCTATTATTTAAGTTTGTGCATTTCTATCTGTGCGTCCACCTGCCACAGAACAAAAGTTTAGAAGCAAACATTTGCCTGTTTAATTAAGGGGTCTACCCAATGTGATCGCCTAAAATTTAAGTAACTTCGGGAATTTCTTTTAAGAAAACTATTCTGAGGAATTTTTTTACTCTCTATGAATGTATTTGCCTACAAATGAACTGTGTAAAATAATTTTTTCGTACAACAATAACTAAAGGTGAGCAAGTTGTGCGCTATCTTCTGAGACGCCAAAAAAAAAGTGCATCAACTGCTGACATCATATAGTTCGCTAGGGTGCGTGAAATGAAAAAAGACAAAGACGCCCCTAAACTAGATGGTATTCTCCGTTTATGATTTTGGATATCCGAAAAATGTTGAAATCTGACAAAATAGCGGACTTTTTAAGAAATTTTTCGATTTTTCATTCAATCAAGAATATCCTAGATGATTCAACAATAAAGCATGTCTAGAACACTCTGTTAAAATTTCAAGTCAATCGGATAATTCTGTTTGAGTTATAGTGTTAACAAATTTGAAAAATACTATTTCGAGAAAAACGCGTTTAAAGTATTAACTATTACATTATTACTTATATTATATTAATACTATTAGAAGGCTGCGACTGGAAAACTAGTTGTTATCCGACCTTTTTTAGTATGATATTTATGAAGGTATAAACTTTCAAGGTAAAAAGAAATCGATTTTCTTAAAATTGCACACTGGATATGCCCCTTGAACAAAAATTTGCAGTGGACTTACGATAATATCGTTAGTAAAATTTTTAGACACATAAACAAATGTCAGAAATGTATATTTTGTTAAATAGTTCTTGATCGATAAAGTGAGATAGCTTTACGTGGTCCTTCGTTTGTATTGAGAGACTCTTATCATTCACTTTACAAATGCGTTCATGCTTATCCGGAAGTAATGGCCACGTCAACGTATTTCCTAGAAGTATAAAATCCATGTTACGTCGATTTAAAAATCAATTATTATTGACAGAAGATCCTTTTCCCGTGATGTGGGTGCGTTAATGGGATACGTGTCGCCAAGCATGAAACAATAGCACGTGTTTCTGTCCTTGTCTGATTCAGCGCTGCTAGGAATCGGTTCCTCTTCATGCTATCCTTCGAGAGAGACCCTTCCCTCTGTTAGTGCGTGCCTCACCCTCGCGGATGACACTCCGTTCGGGCTCCACAACAAGTCTCACTTGCATCCACGAATTTGCATAACTTCCGCGCGATATCTAAACGAAGTGCGCAGACAAACTTTTACATAAGTTTACACAATTTCGTTTTATCGCATTTTTGTTAATTTCATTTTTTGTGTTTGTGTAAAAGTGAATACGTGGATCGTCCCTTGTGTGTTTTAAATTTCAATGTTACCTTTCTTCCACGGATGGACTTTTACTTATATTTAATTGTGGCTTGTTAAAGTACTGTTGATTGTTTCGTAACACGCAATTTTGTGAAAAGGTATATTGATATATAATATTGATATATAAAGAAATGAACGCAGAGGAGATAAAAGTCGGATGCTTTCAAGTAATCGTCGTGTTGCTGCTTGGTATCAATTATGTCATAGTGGCTATGAACCATGCGTTACCCGTGTTTCATAATTATACGCCTAAATTTTATTGTCAAGTAAGTTCTTTTATAGTGTGAACACATAATTGTTATTGAATATTTGTAATATTCTTACATTACGAAGATTTGAAAATTCTTAATATTGAAATTAGAAGAGAACGTGCTTTTTGATTTAATAGTTATAAAAACCGTTTTATTTGCATATAATAGATGAAGAATGGAACGAGACGAACGTATGGTTGCCAGGAGCATAGCAACGTGACTGTCGCATTTAACGATACTTCCGGTATTAAAGAATCCTCGGATGTATGTTTCGGTGAATACCAATTCGATACGAAATTTGGGGAAAATAGCGTTGTTACGGAATGGCGTTTAATTTGTGACAAACGATATCTGACGTATCTTGGTCCGACTGTTTATTACATTGGGGTTTTAATGGGCGCCTGGATTGCTGGAGTTTTGGCGGATCGCATAGGCAGACTTCCGGTTCAAGCGATTTGCCTTTATACTCAAGGCACGATGGCTGTTGCACTATATGTTGTACAGGTATATTAATTCTATTTATCCAAAATTGTAATGAAAATATAAGTTATGTATTACGGTTCGATGAACATCAAGTACGTAAAAAACTACTTAGAGTTAATGGAAGATTTTTCTTCTCAAATCGATGTTATTAAATACTGGCATAAATACTTTCTAAAAAGAACGTGGAATGTGGAGTTGAAATATTGGAATTAAAACTGTCAGTTGTTAAGACTGAAGAGAACGAGTATTGAATACGAAATTAACACGAGTATTTCTTTTTGCTTTTACTGAACAAGTCGTTCATTTCAGAATTACCCCACGTTTCTAGCCCTTCGTGGATTGCAAGGCGTCTTTGTTCAAGGCCTACAAAATTCGACATACATTCTTTCTTTGGAATTATTTCCTGCGAAAGCACGGACCTTCGTTGCATTAATTATGCAAATTGCATGGGCCATCGGTTTAGTGCTCTTAGCGGCGCTTAGCTACGTTATACCTGACTGGAGAATTTTACAATTGGCGATTTCAGTTCCAACCGCAATAACTGTGCTATACATTTGGTAATTATACTGATTTATGAATCAGGAATGAAGGAAATATATGAAGTTACCGTAATTTATTATTAAATAGACTAAAGAGGTTCAGTTAATGATATATTATTATCATATTATATTTATTTCATCATATTATATCATATTCATCATATTACATTTAAATATAAAATGTGCAGGATGATACCGGAGTCACCAAGGTGGTTATTAGCGAAGGGTAAAACGACGGAAGCAGACATGGCAATAGAACGTATCACGAAGTATAATGTCTGTTGCACGAGATCGCGCAGAGAAACTGTTAAAACTAATTCGAACATTTCTGAAAATGCGACACCGATTAAACCCGAAAGAAAATCGCGCGTTTCATGCGCAGATTTGAAGAAATCTAAGACCGACAGCGAAGTGAAGGAAGAAGCTGCAAATTTATTGAATACCAATGTAGACACAGCTCAACAAAAAGTTCGAAGTAAGATATAAAACCTGTTGAATACTTTATATAATTCTCACGATGAATGCACATAATGCGGCACTTTCTAGAAACGAGTTTGAAGGCGATTTCAGAAAATATAGAGAAGTCTCCGAAATCGGAATTGGAATGTTCGCAGCTTGAAAATGGGGAAGTTATTAAAAAAAGTGTTCCTTCGAGTTCGAAAAGTCATCGGAAATCGAAATCGATATCGCAGCCGGCTTGTAATCAACGGCCTCCTATGAACAATGCGTACGACACCGTAGAATTACGAGCAACCACGAATAATGAAATATCCAACAAAGAAGAGAAAAAGGAGTGTAACAAAGTCGAAGGAAATTTGAATAATCTAGTCCACGCAAAGGAAGAATTAATGACAGTATTTAAGTCTATATTAGTAAGGAAGTATGGCATTTTAATGGTTTGTCAATGGTACGATTGCTTGGTTGATTATAACTGATAATAGCAATGTAATTAAAATTAAATGGATAATTTTTACTTTACAAGTTTATCACTTCTTATGAAGTGAAATATCAAGTATAAATACTACATTTAATTAATCACATATGACATTTTGCATAATTATTTTTTTGTGCTTTTTCAAGGTTCACTTCTTCCGTAGCCTGTTATGTCTTTATGTCACTCGCTCCGACATTTCCCATCAATCGACACATTGCATTTGCATTAGGCGCCGCATTAGAAATCGCAACATATGTCCTCGTTTATTTCATATTATCCAGATACGGCAGACGATTACCAATGTCTTTGTACCAATCTATCACCGGTACAATTTGTATTTCACTCGCAGCTATAATTATATTGTCAAATCTTACGCCTGCAATTGGTACGTGGCCGTAAGGCGTATTGTATGAAATTCAAAGCTATCTAGAGGTATGCGAGAACCTAAAAATAGAAGATCGAATTGGGAAATATTTATACATTTTGAGATCGGAGCCCTCGGGATTCTCTAAAATCTTAATGTCCCGAGAATTTTTAGAGACTCAATAACTTCGCGTTTTATATAATTTCGAAAATTATAAAAATATAATGAGTACAACGTGGAAACAATGTAACATACAAATGTATTATAAATGTAAGGTTTTATTTCGGATTTGTATGTAAAGGTGATGCCTACAACCTACTCATCGTCACTTTACAATTTTCGTAATTATATAATACTTTTTCCTCAGAAATATTGAAATTCCTGGTAATTTAATTATGTTAGGAAATTCATAAATTTTCAGGTATAACGGTAATTTCGGGAATCCCGACAATTTCGTACTACTATACATACTATGGCCGGTATTCAGAGTTGCTATCCCTGTCTATCCCACGTTTCCAGTCCCTGTCTTGTACAGGACTTAAGCAAATGCTTAAGACGATCTTAAGAATAAGCAACGACTCTAAATATCGGCCTATAAGGTACTTTCCGGATCCGATTCGACCTGTTCCGAGCGAGATTGGGTTCTCGTACACCTTTAAAATCATCATTAAATGCTTTCCTCAATTAATGAATGTTATTTGCAGATCTTACGAAAACCTTAATGCTTTTACTGGGTAGAGTAACAGTGTTGAGTACCGTTTTCGTAGCATACTTATACACAATTGAGATATTTCCAACCGTTTTACGGGGAACCTGTTTAGGCTTGTGCATCGTTTTTGCGAAAATCGGCAATCTGTGCACGCCACATGTATTATTATCTGTAAGTTTCAGCATTCCAGCACACTTCTTTTTTTTTGGGATTAACTAACCAGAACATACAGAAGCATTCTACCGAAGATTGAATTTAATTTAGCATCAATTTACGTTTTCTCTCTGAATATGTTTCCTACTGTAACACAAATGTTTCACATGTTCTAAAATAATTTAAAAGAACATCTGCAAACATTTACGTAAATGCCTATAAAAATATTCAATCCCATTACACTCAAATACTTTCCAATCAGCATTCCGTTAATAATAATCGGAATGCTTTGTTTAGTCTCTGGAGTGCTTGCTTTAATTTTGCCAGAGACATTGAACAAAGTTTTACCAGACACGACGGAAGATTCTGAATTGTTGATTGTAAAAAGAAGGGAGAAAAAGTATCATGAAAGTTTGAATAACGAGAACATACCTCCAACCGAAGATGTTTCAGAAAAGGAAATATTGCGAGCGAAATTATTTTCCGAAGATTGGGTGGACGCAGGAAATGGTATTTTAGTAAATTTTACAGAAACTAAAAATTCCGAATGAAATATTTCCGAAACTTTATACAAGTATGTATAATTGTGTATTATATCTACATGCGTACATATGTTTTATGGTATTATAACAGTCTATGCTAAACATATTTATTATTATAATAGGTGCGTAAGGTAATATTATAAGGCCGTTGAATTGTTAATTGAATGCGTTAAATATTGAAACAACTAAAACAATTCTCACTGCCCGTTAACACGTTCGAAAGTTAAAACGATGAGACGTGGTGATACAAATTTTGATATATTTGCATTTTAAAGGCTGAGACGACGACATTACTCTTTTATCATCTTGTTTAATGTTAGCATGTTTTGTATCTTGAATGTTAAATAAATGTGTTTGTAAATAGAGTTGTGATATGAATTTGCGAAAATAATCGTTCGCGTAGCTTTTAGAACATAGTTACAATTCTTATTATATAATTAAATTAATAATTGTAAATACATTTTGCTGGGTATCGAGTATGTACTGTAAAAATTGGTATTATATAGTTACACACACATATTTTACTATTTTATGAAAAGTGTACTGCTTTATTTTCATCTCTTTACAAATAAGGAATCTTTTGTATACGGTACGTAAAATGAAAAACAGAATACAATGAAGTGTTTTCTTTC